ACATTAAACAGCCCTTTTAAAGGATGAAGTCTTATTTCCCCCTTGGGCTCATGAGATGCGGGGCTGCCTCGTTACAATCTTTTCTTCTTCTCCACACACAGCAACCCTTCAGCCCTGAGCTGCTGGAGTGAGGAAAGGTGGGGCGGAAGAGAAAACAAAAAGAAAAAAATAAAGAGAAAACAAAACAAAACGAAAGGTGGGGCGGGACGTAATCCATCCCAGATCTGTTATTGAAGCTTTTGCCAGGCTGGCCACTGCCTCCTGGCCAGTCACTTCCTGCCTTTGAAGTGTTTCAGCCTCCCTTTCTCAGGGAACTGTCTGTAATGACTGTGCTAATCTGGGAGAGAGCAGAAGCCAGAGTGTGCCCAATGTGGCCTTGGCAAGCATGAAGACAGTTATCTGCCTCCTGGACATTGCAAACGCTTGACCTCTGGGCATTTTGCTTATTTTCCTGGTCCCCAGCCATAGCATTAGAACATTGACATTTAGCATTAAAATATTTATATTTAGTATTAGAGCTTTGACTTTGATTTCTCAAAGGAATGTTGGGAATTCATGATAATGATAATAATAACACAGTAGCTATCAGTTATTTACTATTTACTAAACACTATGCAAAGTGCTTTTCCTGTGAGCCCTTTTTAACATCACAGCAACCCACTGAGGCAGGAATTATGACTGCTATTTTAAGGTGAAGAAATTGACATTGGGAGAAATTCATGTGTCCAACATCAGGGAGCTGGGAAGTGGTGAGCCTAGGATGTGAACCCATACCCGCCAGAGCCCATGCTCCTGACCACTGAACTCCAGTGCTTCCCTCCTCAACCCAGACTCTGAAACCATAGGGCTAAATATGATGATTGATTCCAAGACTCGATTCCAAGAATTCTTGATTGCAACAATTCCAAGAATGTCTAAACTATTAATAGTAATGGTGGCTCATCAAGCAGAAATTTGAAAAGGAACCCTTTACTTTTTGTTAGCTACAAAATCCATATATGGACAGCCCCCAGGATATACATCTTCCTTGAGTAGTTGATAAAGCAGAGAAAGAAACCAGAGCAATCCCACTCTCCACATGCAGACCAGGATTGAATCTCATGCAAAATTCGTTGCTCAATTAAACAGACAAAGACTCTCCTCCAACATTCTTTTCTTTATTAACTTTACAACTATTTAATAAGCACTTTCTGTATACCTGAGACTTCACATTGCATTAGGAGGATAAACAACAATAAGACATGACATCACCCACCAAAAATAATAGGAGGAGCGATGGATATATTAAACTAAAGTGTTCATTGTGGGTTTGTTGGTAAAAATTTGAGATGCCACACTAGCTCACAGGAGAGAGTTGTTAGCTTTGTCTCGGAGAAAAGAATACTTCATAAAGGATGTGACACTCCAGGTGGTTGTGAAAGAGGGAAGGGTTGGTGTTCACTAGTGCTAGAGGGTATATAAAGAAGACATCCTAGCCAAAAAGAAAGGATCAGCAAGACCAGAACAACCCCACCCATATGCAGAGCTAGAAATAGGCTGGGATGCTGAAGCGTAGGGGGTGGAGCCCAACGAGTGTTCCATATCAAAGACCACATTTCCCCCTTTTCAGAGCCAGAACTGTATAATGCAAACTGCCATTTTGCATTTTGACCTCGTGTAGATTTATATACCCGAAGACATGATTCCTGTTGCAGGTAAGTCTCTAGCAAAGGGATGATGGCAGAACCCATCACTATACATATGTGACAGAAAGATTAAGGTTCAAGGGTCCAGGTGTGTGTAGCCGGGTGTAGTGGTGAGTACCCCGCCTATGGTCCCAGCTACTTGGGAGGCTGAGAAGTGAGGGGATCATTTGTGCCTGGGAGTTTGAGGCTACGGTGAGCCATGATGGTGCCACTGCACTCCAGCCTGGGCAACGAGAGATAGACCCTGTCTCCAAAGCAGATAAGAAGAAAGACTAAGGTTCAAGGTTTACTTTTACCATGTCTTTCACATACAGCCTGAGTAAATGGGAACCTCGTGTCCTCACATAAATCCCATCTCAGCATGGTGACCCATTCAAAAGGAACACAATACTAACTGCAAAAACAGCAAAGAGCAGTAAAGGATCACTGACTACCATGGAAAGATTGCAAAGATGACACTGCCATAGCACCCTCTTTTCTTTGGCCATCCCTTTTCCCAATGCCCCAAGCATTGTGGCCATTACTGTCCCAGATGTCCTATGTCATCATTTAAACCTTCAACTTGTCTCTCTAAGGCCTCTAATTCTATTTGTATTCATATCTCACAGGAATATCTCATTGCTCTAATATAAGTTCATCTTAGCCTCTGATTTTGTGTGTGTGTGTGCGCACGCTCTAACAGGGCCCTTCATTGTGCTGACTGGGCTTGTGGATAAACACGGAAGCCTACTCAGAAGATGGGATGGGAAAGGCTCAGAATCTTTCTATGTTCCTATCACTCCTATATGTCACTAGAAGGAGACACACCTAAGTGTGGTGTATTAGTTTGTTTTCATGCTGCTGATAAAGACATACCAGAGACTGGGTAATTTATAAAGAAAAAGAGGTTTTATGGACTCACAGTTCCACATGGCTGGGGAGGCCTCACAATCATGGCAGAAAGTGAAAGTCATGTCTTACATGGGGGCAGGCAAGAGAGAATGAGAGCCAAGTGAAAGAGGAAACCCCTTATAAAACCATCAGATCTTGTAAGATTTATTCAATACCCCAAGAACAATATGGGGGAACAACCCCCATGATTTAATTATCTACCACCAGGTCCTTCCTACAACACGTGGGAATTATGGGAGCTACAATTCAAGATGAGATTTGTGTGGGGACAAAGCCAAACCATATCATATGGATATAGCTTTGATCCTTAACTAGCTGTGTGACCTTTGGGTTAACAATACTTCTGGGCCTCAATTTTCTTATCTATAAAGTGGGAATAATTCTACTTATCCTAAGAAGAGGATTGGACAACTATAGAGGAAAGAGCTTTAAAGTATACTGCACTCAGATTACATTCATGGTTATAAGTACTTTTTTAATAGGCTAAGATTAGACGTATCTGCTTTCTCTCAGCTACTAGAGACAATTGTAAGAAACATGGTTATTTAAAGAAGCAGCAACTATGGTAAACCTAGATATCAACTCATGTCTCAGGTTCCAAAGTATAATAATTAATTAGGGCTCACTATTATCATTCTTCTTTTCTTAAATTGTATTTTATAGGTTATTAATTCTTTTCCAAAGTCACACGTTTTCCGGATCCGATTTTAACCAAGTCTCAAGGATAGTACACTGTGTCAAGTTCCTAGAAATCGATGTTGCTCTTTGAGGCTGTACTGCTCCTCTTGCAGGTCAACCTGGACAGGACTTTACCCGCGCTGGTTTTTCTCCCCCTTTTAAAATATTGAAGTGCTTCTCTTAATGAAATTACAAAGTATTTATTTTCAAGGTAGTATCAGTGAGTGGGTACAATCACGATGCTTTAGTTAGTCATGGGGCAACCCTTCAACCCCGCGAGCCTGATTTTTGTTGTTTTGCAAAATATTATGATGATAGTAATAAAAATCCTAGGGCCTTCATTTTCACATACAGTTCTTTTCTATGCATATATGTAAGCTTTATATTATAGTATATCATAACTGCTTCCATGTTGCTACATAATCATCATAATTAGTATTATTTTAATGACCATGTAATTATCCATGTTGTTAATCTACCATAATTTACTTAAATCTTCAACAATAATTTTTCCTCTGTTATAAATAACGTCTAGGCCACATATTTGTGCACATAGCTTCTTTCATTTTTTTTTTAGATTATTTCCTTAGGATATACTCCAAGGAATGGGATTACTATGTTAAGGAATATGCATTTTTAATCGTTTTTAAATAAACTCACATTTTTCCAGTTGGCAATGCCATCAGCAATAATTAGTGTCCTGCTTTCAATACAACCAATCACAAGTATGTATTATTATCTGATTTTAATACACTTACATAGTACCTTTTGTTGTTGCATTTTCTCAAAAATTGCAAATGTTCATCAAACACTTGCTTACAAATTGTGTGTTCTGTCATGTTTTGAAAAGGCAGTTAGTTAGATTTGAGAGCCAGTTAGGTTTGAAAACTGAGGTAGATTTTTTTTCTTTTGCATCAAGAATGCTTGCTATGCTTCTCTCCCAATGCCAGATAGTTGTGTGTATTAAAAACTAATATTGATAGTTTTCTGAGCAAAATATTCCATTGTACTCATATAATAATTAATTATTGATGACCCATGTCTAAGGAACTGTAGGGAGTACCCAAATAAAATAACAGGAACTTGAGACAATTTAAATTAGAAAACTCAGGAACATATTTTAATATTTCTATACCAGCACTCCCAATGCCAAAAGTAGGGTTGCAATTCAAGTAGTTTAATCTCTGGTTTGATTTTAACAGCTTTCTTTATCTAGTCTGTAACCTGCTTAGTTCATCTGACTTTGCAGCTAGCAAACTCAAGAGCTCCAGCCATTCCACTTCCAACATTTGATTTTCTAGATTTCATTCCAAGAAATCTTTCTGATGAATGAAAAACCCCATCTCTCCCAAAAATAAAATGCTTCACACCATACCCAGTCTTACCTTGTGCCAGGTCAAGCAAATGCATGAACCTTCATAATCTATGAAATCATTTCCCAAACTGCAGCCCCGTCATTGGGTTGGATGCTAATTCCAGATATCTGGTTTTACCCTCCCTTCCAGGCAGCTTCACCTATTTTTCAGTTGGATGTCTTCCATGCCTTGCCAAATGGTAGGGAGAAAAAATTCATGAATATAAGCCACTGTAAATCCATCCTTTCATTGAGTAACCATCATTCTCACTAGAGCTTTTTCTTTGACCTAAGGGTGTCAGGGTTTGTTTGAATACGTTAATTGCTACATATCAGTGTCTGGAAACATAAAGGAAAGCACTTACCATATTTCCCCCTTTTTCTTCTTACAGCCTCAGCCGAGGGTTCTCCATAAACACGGTTAGCCTTCCAAGCTGCTGTCCTGCCAGTTGATATGAACATGACCTGTTCCTCACAGAAAGACTAACCCATGGCACTGCCAGAAGATATCCTTGGAACATGGACAATTTAACTGGATTAAGTGAAAACACATCCATTCAGTAAAGATTATGGGCTCTGGAAAATTCTTACTTTGCTATGGATTTAAAATGAGGTGCATAAGACACAGTGCCAGGTCGTTCCAAGTGGTCATTGGCAGACCATGAGCTGGAAAATTGCTTCCAGTTTTCATCACTGTGCATAACTCAAGTTCCCTTTGGGGAGCTGTCTGTGCCCTTCACTAGAAGTCCTGTTTTAGCATGGCAACTACTGGATTATTTTATTATGTGTGCAGATGGCATGATGTTTTAGAAAAAAAAAAATTACAGCAGTTCTGCAATCTCAGTGGGAGTGTTCACAATATTATGCCCTGGTAGGAATGTAAACGTGTCTCGACTATGTTAGTTACGATGTCTAAAGGTTCTGTCCAACTCTTAAGCACTTTATATGAGAATACTACACCAAGATGAATTAGCACGTTCAGCACATGTGAAAAATCAAGTATTTTCTTTTTACGTTTATAAATCTTGGTGGGTTTTTTTTTTTTCCTGGCTCAGACTGTCCAAGACAAACTCCACTACTAGCATATCCCCGGTGGTTTGTGGTAGGTTGATGTAAATATGGCCATGATACTGTTAGACTTCACCTCCGGATTCTTTACTGAACAACTGGTTTACTTGTAGCACCAAAGGGAAGCAGAACGGGTCGAGTGATTGTGATATCTTAACTTGCTTCTTTGTTCTCAGGCAAGTTGACCACAGGCACATACATGTACTCAAATACAGGAGGCTTCTATTTAGCTAATGTAGGTATTCTGTAGAACAGTTCCTCCGAAGAAAAAAAAGGGGATGATATTCTTTTAATCAAAGGCCATGGCGAATGGATAGTAAGGGCAACAGAATGCCATTCTTTTGCGTGGTCTGACTTTAACACTTCGGAAAAAATTCTAAGTCAAGTTTAAATCGCCATTCTCTTAAGAGGGAAACATCAAGTGACCCCACCATGTGCCTAGAGAAGGAAGCATCCTATACTAGGTTCCTTGCTTAGTGTAGAACCTACTAGTCCCTTTTAATCTTTTCTGGGATGATACCCATGACTATTTTTTTTAACTAGGTCTTATGACAAAGCACAGTCCTGGGAAACCAGTCAACTTAATTATCGCTTATCTTTAAGCATTGCAGACATGTGCATATTGACTTGCTACATAACACGGTAGCATATTTTTTTCCTGAAAATATAAAGTTGGCTGAGTGGAAACCTCAGTGCAGTATGTTCCTGTGCCCACTGTCCCAGCCTGGGACTGACAGGCATCAGAGGCTTTTCTTTAAAATATGTGTAACCACTTCTGGAACACTTCCAATGCGAGCAAGCTTGATGTTTTAGGGTGTCTCCAGATACATAAGCATTGTCTGCCTCCTCTCAGGGTCTCAGGAAATACACAGCCCGTTGGAAACCACCCCCGCCTGAGATTTGGAAACCTGACAGGGAAAGGGAGGAAGGTCCAAATGAGTCAGCAGCAGGATGATTCACCACAAGCCTGGTAGGCTGCAGAGCCGGAGAAGGGGGCTTCCAACAAGGAACTCAGAGGAATTTCAGTCACCACCAAGATCTGGCTCTTTGACAGGTCAGCAGCAGGACTGCCAGGCCCTCTGCAGAATGTAGTTCCCTTCACATCCGTAATTAGGAAGCCAAACTCCAGCTGCCAACATCCTTGGACACAATATTCTAGTCTCCACTGCCCATCCCTTGTGGTCAGTTCTAATAGCAGGTCTTCTTCCTCCTTTCATCCCGCCCTTTACTCAGCAAGCATTTGTTGAGCATCTACTATGTGCCAAGCGTTGTGCTTAGGTAACAACAGTACACAAAGCAGACTTCCCACCTGCCCTTATGAAACCATATCTCCTCCTCCCAAACATTATCGCCACCCCACCTTTTCCACAGTGAAAACTTAGACAGCATTCTCCATTTTGCAAGAGTACCCTAGGAAGAAGAACATGGCAGCAGACAGCTCCTCAGGGAGCAGGCAGCAGAATGAAAGGTAGCTAAAACTGTATCAGCCTCCATATTTGCAGCTTTCAGGTATAGCCAGCTCTTCCAGGGCCCAGGCTGAGTTGGTTCGAGCTTCCGAAAGCAGCATTCAGTTGCTTTCCTCGATATCCACCCTGGACACCTATGTTCCCTTTCTTTACATAGGCACAACCATTCAGCCACTACGCTGCATTATCTGAAGCTCCAATTCTATAACTAGTCCAGGGGACATACAATTAAGTCTGATGAAGCCTAAGAACCACCAGGTGCTGAGATATTGTAACTTGGAATTAAGGTTTAGCCAAGGACATTCTGAGACTACTGCTGACTCTCTTGAAAAACTGGACATGCTTTTTAGTGCAGACGTTCATTAAATGATGGTGGTTCATTGTTACTTGCTTTGGCCTTTGCAAAATATTCCAAACAATTAAATAAGTAGAGTTTCCTAGTTTGTCTTTGTTTAAGCCTGACGAGTGTTGTAAAATTATTGAAAAATGATGGGTGAAGAGGGACCTAGGAGAAGGCAAAATGAAGACTATTAAAGAGCCCAGTTGAAAAGACTGTGTCTCTAAAAATGCCTTAATGCCTTGCACGTAACTCTGTGTTTGCATATGAACTACTACTCTTTTCCAAACAGTCAACCTCTGTTTGAAACCACTTTGGGGATAGTTGTGGAAACATGGTGGCATAAAATCCGAGCAGTCAAGAGTTCAACCAGCAAGAAGAAGGAACAGCTTTATTCACAGGCTTCAGCATCTTTATTACATGGCGGTCCTCTGTGATCTCCCATGGTTACCTCCAGCTGTGCTGGACTTTCTTCCCAAGATGCGTGTATGAAATGTTACCTCCTAGAAATCCAGAAATGATGGTAGTGAGTTTTGTTTAGTAGGAAGAAAGAGATGGGAAAGTAAAGGATACATATTTTTATGTCTAAGGACTGTAACCTGTTGATGCTTGACTTTTCCCTTTACTTAAACCTATGCTGCACCTTTGTTAAAAGACTGACACCCAGACTTGCACAGGAAAGGCACTCTTGGGAATGAACAGAAATGAATAATTATCATACTTTCCATGATGCCAAGGGGATTCACTTATTATGCAGCATTGCCAGTCCTGCTAGTGTGAAAAGCAAATCACTTCAGTAGTTTGAGACCTACCTAGGGGAATAGAGATCCTATCAACTTTCTTTGTGGGTAGTGGCCTACCTTCAAATCCCTGCTCAGGCTCTGTGAGGTGTGCACCTGCAGATTTCACTTCTACCTCCAGAATCCTGGCAGACAAGCCAGGAATCTTTTCAGAGTCACTTCTCAGTTGCTCAGACAGAGGCTAACAGTCCTTAGTCCTGAGGAAATTCTGCCATTTTTAACATTCAAGGAGAAAAGGAAAATCAGCTGTACATGAGAATATCAACTAAGGATAAAAACATCTAGTGGATTCCCCTCGTTACTTGCAAATGCTTTCTTTGTCTGCAAATGTCACATAATTGATACTGGATAGGAACAATAAAAGTCTCAAGGAAGTGAAGTCTTTAAGACCCCTTTAGCCCTTTACTTCACCAAAACCTTCTCTTTCTTTCCAGTACATTAGCAGTTTCGGGTTCTTTGTGCTGTTTTCCTCTACATTCTTTAGAATAATTTTGTTACTTGACAACTAGGCTTGTCAATTGCCTTAGACTGTTTTTAAAAATCTAATCCTTGAAAATGACATAAATTCTATTATTGCTTTAGGGCTGTTTTTATTCACCCCTCCAACCCCTTCCACTGTACTTTTTAGGGTGTTTTTTTTTTTCTTTTCATCTCTCTTTCTTTTAACATGATGCTGTGGGTAGATCTCAAGAATTCCTTAAAGTACTCAACAAAAAAACGGAGTTGTCACCTTTTTTCCCCAGTCCTAACAATTTCTTCTTAAACTTGATCGTGGTGAAAACTTCCTGCCCAAAAAGCAGTGTGGGTAGGGATTAATAGCACTGACCAGTCATCTGGGAGATTAATTAATCCCATTGCAGTCCTGAGACGAGGAAAGGGGACAGGCCAGGAGATGTTTCTACTCAGGGCACCACTAAGGACTGTATTTCAAAGCCAGATCCTGCTCCTTAGTCTTTTTAGATCTGAATCTACTCCTGAATCCAGAGGATTATCCTATGAATTCTGGTTTATGAACCCACATGATTCCTGGCACCACTGCATAGCTTCAAGGTAAAAGAGAGCTGTGTTTCTATTATTTTGCTATGGTGGCTTTTGGGAAGACGGACAGCATTCTTTTGAAAGCAGGAAACTTGAGGAAAAGCTGGAAACTTGAGGAAAAGCTGGCTAGGGGCATAGGAAGGTTCTGCCACACCTCAGGATAAAGAATAAGGTAGATGCTTCTCCTTTGGGGAAGGTAGCTAAAGGGACAGTAACAGTACTGGTGGCCTTCTGGCCATCATCTTAGCTCCACAGGGAGAATTCTGGGTAAGGGCAAGTGCTGTTTCTAAAATCTAAATTTTTTTAGGGTGAAATTTACCAGCAACAAATGTAAAAGGGAGGAGCCATCCGGCGTAGGGCTAATTTTATACTTCTTGCCCAAGGGCAAAATGACTGAGACATGACTTCCATGAAACAGCAGAAAACGGATGCCAAAGATATCATAAAACTGAAGTTTGATTTGCCATGTAAGGCTATTTAAAAACCTGATGCACTTCAAGCATTCTTCTTTCAGAGCTTCCCTCCTACAATTATATCAAGCACAAGAAAGCACCAACAGCATACACTTAATGTCATGTAAAAGTAACCATATGACTCGTGTTGAATTATTATTGGCCGGTTGACATATTAATAAGTATCGTACGTAGATAGTTAGACATTATTTCTGATCATACAAAATTCTTTTCATAACCTGGAGCCAATGGTTTGGGAGGTTTATTTGTTTGTTTGTTATTTGTTGTGTTGTTGTTTTCCAAACCTCAGATATTTTGAGGCACCTTAGAAAGGCTCTTAGGCCAAGGCCGTTTTGCTTCATATGCAGAGCATTAAGAGCAGCCCTACTGATGTGAACCTCAAGGAAGGAGGCTATTAAATTAATCCAACACTGGAGATACTGATACCTCAAACAATTAAAACACTGAAGACTCTGCTGGTCGCCTCCCACATTGTTTACAGCCTTTTAAAATTCAGTCATTTGGATCAAGGAAATAAACGGTTGGTTTCACATGGCTTTTGCCACATTAGCACTGGCACAGCTATCAAATGTGGAAGTCAAGACTGAGTGGATGCATGAGAGCAAACAGATCTGTTTTATATGATTGCATTTAATCACCACCAAATTCTGTAAAAATATATTCAAATACTTAACGCAAAAAAAAAAAAAATTCAAAAACAGGAGACTGTTACTGGCTCATGCTTTCACTTTGGGTAGGATAACTGATCTTGAAGATAACCTTGTAGAAAACTTTGCTCGGTTAAATGTCTCAAGCACCTGGGACGTGATCCTGTTCCATTCCACAAACTGATGATGGTCTTCTCCCATCTCCTCAGAGGAGTTAGCATGGCCTCTAAAATAGCACAAATGCCATGAAAATACCTTTCTAAACTCTATAGAGACCTCCTATCCAAGTATAATTCCGAGAATATGGTTTGAGTTTGAGCATGCTGGTGGTCCTTGATTCTATGATTCTGTGATCCCTAAATCAATCCGTTCTAGTTCTTTACGTGTGTGTGTGTGTGTGTGTGTGTGTGTGTGTGTGTGTGTGTGTGTATTTCTAGTATTTTTTTTTAACCGCGATTAAGTGCATTTAGCATGTTTGCATTGGGAACTGCCCGCTGGCTCTGTTCCTGCTTTTGGCAATCCCCATGTCCAGATCCCATACAGCGCATTTGAGAGAGGACCGAGGTTATGTTTCCCCACATATCAGCTGCTTCAGAGGTTTTGAAGTGCGTGACCCAGTTCTTTTTCACATCAAAAAGGCCTTCAGTTACAGATGGAAACCTTAAGGATGAATATAGAGTGGAGGAGGAAATGCATGTTTGAATGCTGGAACCTTTGTCTTTTTTTAATTTTTATTCAATTCCCACCTCAGATCACCAGAAAGAGAATCCTCTTTGGTGGGTGTTAGCCCCCACTGGAGGTAAAAGGGGTTCTACTTGCTTAAACTCGCACATAGGCAATTTTAGGGCTCTCTGGGGCTTTGAATGGTTTCTCCACCACTACCTCTCTTCCACCAATAGAAAGATGCTGTCCTTACAAGGCGATGTTTGAGGAGACCACGGCTTAACTAGTAAAAGAAGTTCACATTGCAGAGAGCTGAATAATACCAGGCTCTTGACTTTGCACTGTGTGTCACGGTCATGTCTGGGACAGAAGGAACCAGTCTGCTGTAAAGCCAAGCCAGCACAAACATTTGGAGACCAATTCCACCGAAACCCTTGTATCCCTAAATCATACTACTGTAGTTTCAGTTAATGTAATTATTTAATACCATTAGACACTTAATTAAATAGCTTTGCACAAAATTTTAGAAAAGCTCAATCTTGTAACCAAATTCCCTATTAATAGTAAAAAGCACCCGAGAAAAGAAATGTTGATCTCTTGTGGTTTATACGCTTGAGTTATTCTGAGAACTTTGCGGAGATGGACACTGCTCTGATAAAAAGGAAGAAAATGTTTTGAATTCAAGAATGCCAGACTAATAGAAATCGCCCAGTCTCTCTGGGTCACTGCTCTTCAGTGTGGGGTGCTCTCTGTCTCTCCTTAGAAGATGGGGTTGTTCAGAGGCCGAAATGAACTAAGGGAAGAAGCTGTCCTGTGCCTCCAATATCCCTTATGTATAATTAGAGTGCTGATCTGGGTTATAGGCTTTATTCAATGATTCCTCTCCCTTACTTGAGGCTTTCTCTGTGGAGCTATTATTTCTGAATCTCCATTCTTGGATTTACAAAGGAAATAGAATGATGAAGTAACAATCAGTGTTTTACACAAACACACACACACACACACACACACACACACTTTTTCTAATATATGAGGCTAGTCTGCAGAGTCTACAGCCCAGGTGTCCATTTATTTCCACTTCTTCACCTCCCAAAGATTTAGAGCTCCATGACCCACTAAGGTGAAGAGTGCCAATCCCAGGTTGGAGAAGACTCATCAGAGTGTGAAGGTGCCAAACTGAGAGGCACAGGAAGCAGACAGGACATCGATCTTCCTTGATAACTACTGCATCTTGGTGTTTGTTCTAGGAAATAAAGGAAGAAAAATGACACAATGTGAATTGAACACGAGTAGTTCTCTTTATAGAGTATGAGAATGGAGGAGGGGGAGAATCTGATAAAGATAATGATTCGTTCTTTCACAAACACTAACAAACATAGCTAAAAAGCACATGTCAGAACACAGAAGTCTGTGTAGATGCTCAACATGTTTATAGCTTCCTAAATGAGTAGTTCAACCAGCAGTCTGAATTCTGTTGGTCTCCCAAGAGTGTTTAATTACATAAGTATTACCTGTATTCATTTCCCACGACTATTGGGTTTTTCTTTCTTTCTCTTTTTCTCTATGCATCCCTAGAAAAACTCCCAGGACTATACTTAGGAGGAGGCAATCAAATTATTTGGTAAAATAAGAGTGCCTTTTCTGTTGGATGTCCACTTTAGTTTCCTGGGTTCCCAGGGCATACAATGTTGAGAAACTTTTTTTCTCTAAACATAAGAATTATTGTGCACCACAATTTTGAACCACCGATTTCCATATCTTAAGCAGCTATCAACTCGCCAATTCCCTCTGGGTCTCCTTTGTATATTCTTATGTTTCCTTCTGTTTCTGATTGTCCTCAAAAAGAGTTGAGGGGGGCATGACTCTTACAAAAGGGATAAAAATGAAACTGTGTACAGATTTTTGCCCCCCCCACCCTGGTATCTGTGAGCATGATCTCTATCGGGCTTGAAAATCTGCTTTATCATTTTGTATATTTGACTATTTTGTATTCAGCATTACTTGACTCCTTATGTGCATGGCAATGTATTAAAATGTGGGATTTCTATTACCAGTGTAAAAGCGTTTTGATTCTGATTTTCAACATATATCCTAGGAAAAAAAAATTACCTTAAACGTTTCTATTTTATTCAGCTCATCAGCTTTGCAAAAGAAAAAGAAAAGTTAACAGCATTTCACTTCTCCTGTGTTAGCTAATGATGCAATTCATGGTGGAAAATTGTCCTCAATTATGCTGTGTTTCCTAGAGAAATAATATATGTGAAATGAATTGATGGCCTCCCTGCGGCTCCCAGCACACAGAATTCCCCCAGCACCAAATCCCACCAGCGTAATTTCAATGACTGGTGAACGCTTTAGTGTTGAGCACAGCTGGACGAGAGGCACAATTCTCTTCATCTCTCAGACATGGTAACACACGAGGAAGAGATGGGACAACAGATCTCGGCCCACCGATTTCCTCTCACCCCAGAGAGTCAATAATATGTGCTAATAATAACATGATTGATGGCATTTTCCAGCACCTCTTGCTCCGTCTCTCTGAGGTAGTGACCAAATATAAGCTCTCTGTATTTTATCAATAGAAAGACTGACCTTCAAATAACACCTGCCCAAGAGACTTGAGTTAGAAACCAGAACTTCCAGACAGCTTTGGCGTAGCCAGCCTCTAGTGCAGCAGACATCTGCAGTACCCTCCACCCACCTCCACGTATTTTTAAAGGGCCAAACACTTGTCTCAAACTTTAAAAAATTCCCTGAATAATATTATACACCAAATATAAACAATTGACCATTTTCCTGCTCTAAATTACCATTTTCACCCTGCCTTTTCTCAAGGAGACATCGTAATGAGTACTTATAGACACTCTGACTGTACTGAAGATGATGAATTACTTCAACCAGTAGAGAAGAAACACTTCTTTCCCCGAAATGAAAAAGCACTCATAAATTGCATAAAAAAGAAAGGAGACACCCATTGCCTTTTTTATTACATGCTTACTGTAAATCTAGTGTTTGTTTTGGTTTCTGAAAAAGGTGTCCAAAAGCAAAACCTGTGGTAACCTTTTAGGTTAGCTTCCTGACTCCACGTATAAACCTTCTAAATCTTTCGATATACCTTGCAACTCTAAAAGCACAATTTTCTCCTACTTTTCTCTACATAAAGATTTTGAACATGGAAAACTGAGCCACCTTTTTGTCGGTTAAACTTTTTAGAAGATGTGAAAATCAGAGCCCCCAAACAAAACATTCTCTTTGTCTTGACCTTTTAGGATCACTTCTAAGTATTTCTTCTCTTTCTGTCTCTTTCTCTTATTATTTTCTTCTCTTTTTCTCTGTGTGGTCTCCTGCTTTTAACTTATCTCTCTCTTTTGCAGGCTTGTCTTAAAACCTTTCTCCACATGCCTTCCTCTTCCTCTATCTCATCACCTTCACCCCCCCCCCTTTTTCTCTCTCATCTCTCTCTCTCTCTTTCTCCTCTCTCTTTCTCTCTTCCACCCCCGTTTACCCTTCTCCTTCCTTCTTTTTATGGTAGAGCATATATCTGTCTTTGTATCCCCATCTCTTGCCACATTATAGTTGCTCAACAAATGTTAGGTGAACTGAATTAAACTTGCTGCCATGTTTTTCCTGGCTTGTTTTCCTCCTGCCTACTGATCCTAGCAACCTCTACAAACACTTCATTAAACAAATCAACTCATAGTAATAAAGACTACACCAGATGTGTTTTCTGAGGTAGGTGAAAGCTTTAGTGGAGAGGTTCTCGCCTCAGTAAGGTGTAGGCAGATTCTCCTATATTCCACTTTACCAATACAAAGAAAAGCCTTTCTGCCATCTCAGCGTTGGGGAACTCATGGTGCCCTGTGCAAACATGGTAGCTATATTTGGATCAAGGACAGTGATGTCTGTGAGAAATTCAGTTGAGATCGCCAAAATAATTTTTCAATCTAAGATGATTCAGAATCTTATAAAATCTTTTTTTCAAGACCTAGCAAATGTGAAGTGCAGTGCTGGTTATCTTGTGCTACAGAAAACCTAAAATACGCTTTAGTTTCCTATTGATCATTTTTGCCAAGAGCTGTCTCTGGTTGGGAGGTTTATTCCGGTGATGATGAAATCATTAGAATTGTTAATACTTTCTCCAGTATCTATTTATAAGGCATATAGATGTATGTACATTGTAAAATAGCTTTCCCTTATTTTTCACAAACATTGTGCAAATATTGAAAAATTAACTAAAAACAAGCTTTAATAAAGACATCTACATCATGCTTTTGTGTAACACTGGGGAAATACAAAGTGGGAATAGATCACGAGAACTGTATATAGTTGTTTCACAAGTGATGATGTTCCCTTTCTCATGAGAGGTGGAAAACTTGACAGGGTTCTATTTTTCTGTCATATTTCTCTCCTTTGAATAATGTAACCCAAATATCATTAGGTTACCATGGTCCAGTCTCTGCGGGAAAGTTCAAAAAGAGAATAAAAATGCATATGAAAGCACTGTGAGATTTTACTTTGTCCTTCATGAAACTTCCAAAACCGTGTGTGTGGGTGGAGGTGTGGGTACGAGTTACACAGAAAATATCTTTAAAATCCTTCCCATCTATGCCACCCTCATTATCCTCCACTCAAAGGCAGCTGCTTCCTTCCATTTTAACTCTTCTTTCTCTCTCGAGAAGAGCCCTTCTAAATCTCAGCCCTTTTCCACTTCTGCCTCTCCAGCTCTGCTTTGCTATCCTTGTTGCTATGATTCTCCCTTCCAAAAGCATTAAAACCAAACTAGCAAACACTAAATTTTTCTATAGGAGAAAAGTAGAAAAAGAGATATGATCATACAATATTTTTAAATGATTTTATCAATTTTTCTTGATAGTAATTCTTGTCTCAGAGCTGTGAAATTGATGACTCCAAAAAAAAAAAAAAAAATGGAGGGCAACAGAAGGTTAATTTGGTTGCCATTGATGGTTTAAATTCTAGTTCCAGTAAGTAAGCCTTGTGGAGCTTGAAATCTTTTCTTGTTTTAACGAACGTAGTTGGATCTCATGCCATTTGTCCTGTGACAAGAACTGGTCACGGTACTGGTCTAGGTGTTGCTGATTCAGAGATGAAAGACACTTTTCCTGACCTCAAGAATCTGACACACTAAGAGAAATAAGCAGCTCAACAAACACTTCTTACGTATCCTAGATTGAAATGCAAATATCTCTGGAAGGATAACTTAAGCCCCATTTATTCTCAGATGCTGGGGTTGGGGAGAGATGCAAGAATGTTTCATAATCAAGCCAGCTCTGAAAATAGGATATATGTACTTTACCCCTGTCCTAGAGACTTGGGATGCCTATTAGCATATTAAAGGCTCTGAGAAGTCTTGAAAGAAATAATCATGCACATATGTTCAGTGCAGCGCATCCAAGCATCAACTGTTTTCCCCAGAGAATATCAGTTTACAGCCCATAGAACAAACATTTTTGGAAATGCCATTCTAAGCCAAACAGTGCTTCATGGCCATGTTCTTTCAAGCAGGTGAATGTACAGACCCTCAGGAAAGAAGTGGTTCCAGATGGACCCCCTGAGAGGGAGATAGAGACCAGGGGGATAAAAAGTGGGCTAAAAACAAACCTGCCACTTCCTATTAATGAAAATAGCTACAAAACAGCTACTACATGTTCATCCCGGTTAACCTATTACATCCCAACCCTGTCACCAGCCGTGGATGGAGAAGGGGGAACAGTTGCATTACCTTGGCCAAGACTCACATCTGTCTAGATTTTAACATTCTCTTCTGGAATACTAGAGGGTTGGAATAGATGGACTCCTGTAATCCCTTTGCAACACACTACTTCAGCTCCATTCTAATTTTGGACAATCTTATCCTCATCTTTGCTTTTAAAGTAAGCACATAATTCTTGGATGGAGCTGGAGGCCATTATTCTGAGTGAAGTAACTCAGGAATGGAAAACCAAATATCATATGTTCTCACTTATAAGTGAACTAACCTATGAGGATGTAAAACCACAAGAATATATCATGGACTTTGAGGACTCGCAGTGGGGGAGGGGGTGAGGGATAAAAGACTACACATTGGGTAAAGTGTCCACTGCTCAGGTGATGGGTGCACCAAAATCCCAGAAATCACCACTAAAGAGCTTATCCATGTAATCAAAAACCACCTGTACTACAAAAACTATTGAAATAAAAAATTAAAGTAAGCACGTATCTAGAAAATCTGGAAGCTTCTAATACACTATAGTTCACTTTCCTTCTTAATTCTAAAGAGTATGTTTTCATTTCACAAACATTTTTGTCTCCCAGGTGTTACAGAAGCAGTTTTTCAAAGAAAACAAAAATTGGAACTACAATTTGAGCAATGATGCAAGCACACAGGTCCACAGTTGGTAACTTCGTCAACACAAACAGGTATTGATTTTTATTGGTTAAGCCAAAAATCTGTAAAAATTATTCTTGGATACAATGGAATCAGGAAAAAAAGAAGTCTTTCAAGGATTTCGAAAGAAAGAACAAATGGTATCAAACTTGATGCTGGATACTCTCCCTTTGTTGACATTCTATTCGAAAATTAAATTAAGGGAGTTAGAGACAGGGCGAATTCAGAACTATATTTTAAAGAAAGAGCTGGGTGTGGTAGGCTCATGCCTGTAATTCCAGCACTTCAGAAGCCTGAGATGGGTAGATCACCTGAGGTCAGGAGTTCAAGACGAGCCTGGGCAACATGGTGAAACCCCATCTCTACTAAAACTACAAAAAAAAAAAAAAAATTAGCCAGGTTTGGTGGCAAGTGCTTGTAATCCCAGCTACTCGGGAGGCTGAGGCAGGAGAATTGCTTGAACTGGAGAGGCTGAGGTTGCAGTGAGCCAAGATGGCGCCCCTGCGCTCCAGCCTGGGTGATAGAGTCAGACGCGGTCTCAGAAAAAAAAAAGGGGGGGTGGATTCAGAATGGAGGTGGAGGCAGGAGGGAAGAGGGAAGAGACTGGGAGAGTTTCAAAGACCTAATTCCCCTTTGGTGAGGTTTATTTCTTCTCTGACCCTGGGCAAGACAGATA